ACCGACTGAGCTAACCGGGCACCACATGTCTTATGGTTTTTGATTGATCATTTTTTCATAACATAAAAGGCTGAAAAAAGCTCTTAAAGCAGCCTCCAGACAAACTGTGTTTTAAAGAACTCCAAATGTTTGAAAAAGCTGAATGCATTTGATCATTTTGAAAAAATATTGATTATCACATACTGCAAGCATTTTCTGAAAACAGTTTTGTCATTAACATGAAACAGTACATAAGACAAAGTAACTGTAATGCACAGCTGTTTGAAGAGTCTACAGATGTGTCATACGGTGCTCAATAATAAGTGCCAAGAGGAAGTGAATGGTAAATGAACTGCAATTATATCGCTCCATTCACACTGATGTACAGCCTTCTGAAGCAACTTGGGGTTCAATATCTTGCCCAAGGACACTTAGACGGGCAGATGAACCGCTGATCTTCCGATTTGTGGATGACCCGCTTTATGTCTGAGCTACAGCCGTCACCGGAGGGCGTGGCAAACATGTCTTGAAACTCACTGTGTGAATATCCACAACGAAGCTGATGGCAGCTGTTTGAGACATGTCGGTCTGGGGCAATGTGGTGAATGGATGGACTGTCTGCCATCATCAGGCCAAAGACACTGGAGTGACATCGGTGAGGAAGTTCTTATTATATTTCTGTTAGATGATGTCAGCCACCGCTGGTTGTTTATTTGTGTGTAAGCAGTGGGTTTTTAAAACGCTTAGACTTGATGAATGTGATTGTTTGAAGCAGACTGCCAGGCTGTGTGTGGCTCACTTCTGGCCTTATGTCACTGTGTTTGCTGACAATGTGTTCTTATAAGATCAGCACAGTGTTGCTAGTTAGACTGAACGCTGTATATTTAATTCAGCACATATGTTGGCTCATACAGTTTCACTCCTTTTTAAATCACTATGTTTGGATTAAAGTTGAAGCGCTGACTCGGATCATGATCCTCTGAGCTCTCTGCATGAGGTTAATGCTACGCTGCTGCGTACAGGTACACCACATATTCAATTCTAAGATAAACATAGTATTTATTGTGTTGGAATACAACTGAATTGTTCCCTCAGAAGAGAAAAAAAAAAGCTGAAGAAAAAGTGAGTGTCTGCAAGTGTGTGTGTGTGTGTGTGTGTGTGTAGATCTGGCTCTCAGCCCCTAAGTGAATATCCCAGTGAATTTTGATGAAGCATTAATTTTAAATCCAGGCAGTATACTTCTCCACGTTACTTAACACTGACAACATACCTGTGTAGTTACTGTTATGTTATGCCACACTGTTTCAACAGACACCTTTGGACAGGGCTCCAACACGTGTACAAATTACGAGGTTGCAGGACGACTGATCCAGAAGAGTGACTGTAAGTTGGACGGCTGGTAGTCAGAACGTGTGATATGGCCGATGACGATGCGCGGATGCAGATGAAGACATCATGATAGAATAGGGTTGGTTTTACAGCCTTACTTTAAATTTACTATTATTATTATAGTTTTTTGATTTGGCTTTTCTTTCAGGTTATGTCTCCGCCTTAAGGCACTTCAGCAGCCACTAGTGGTGGACAGCTTCCTTTCTGAGCTGCATCATTCAACTGATGTGAAAGAGTCAGTAAGAAACAATTCATCAGGTACTCTGATGCTGGTATGTTGCTAACTTTAATGGTATATGTTGTATTGGGGTGTTTTATGATGTTGTTGAATATCTGTGGTCTTTCAACCTTCCACCTAGTGGTTTTTTCATGGGGAGAAACACCAGTTATAGTTAGTATAGTATAGTATAGTTTTTGCAGTTGTTTGGTCTCATAGAACTGCATTTTGCCTGTATAACTCCTTTATCTTCTTCCTTTAATCACCTTTAGTTCTCTTTTATGTCTTATGTTTGTTTTAATAAATGCACACTTATTTTAAACTATCTCCTAGACATTTAGCTTCACACTCTCAATTGCATCTAAAGAAGATTTTTTCTTCTCTTTTCTTTTTTACTTAGTTAATTTTCCTATCGTACTCTAGCTGTTGGTCTTTAAAGCAGACGTGAAGCCTATTGAAAATTGCATTCTATCACTCCTTCGCTATCGTTTTAGCATATATCAGTGAAGTGTATATACAGGCGGACAGAGCGCAAGGACATCTGTCAGTGACACGTCATCATATGTACCTTTACACACACACTCATGGTTGTCAAACAAAGTTCACCTTTCTATGGACATGTGCTCATTGAAATTCAACTCTGCGTGGATTATACCTAAATAATTTCTATAATTGAGTGGAAATATTGTGTGTCAGACAGATACAATGAGTCAGTCTGTATTCAGTTACATTCGAAACATCAAAACGCCGCTCTCATTCACAGCCTGCCTTCACTCTTTAATGTTGAGCTGATTTTTTACATTTCTCCTCTGAATTAATCGAACTGTAGGGTCCCAAGAGTAACCAGCCTTTGTTGCTTTTGCCCCTAATCACCACCATCCTCTATGCAATGAAGAACACACAACACATTGACTGAGGCTGGCAGGCCAAGGCCAGGCAGAGGGTCTGTGTTTGATTTAGCAGATCTTAACGCGATTAGGCCTGTTTTATGATTTGCACTTCCAGTCACGGTTGTAAAGGAGGCCAGGGAATGTTTGAACCCAAGGGGATGCTCTGAGACTCGGAGAGCTCCCCAACATAAACAACACATACACCCACTTGCACTCACACTCCACACTCACACTCACAAACAAAGCAAGTTAGCCTTTATATTAATAAGAAAAAGCATAGAGCGTGACAATTATTTAGTGTTTGTGTGTATACAGAAGTATTTCTAATATTCTTTTTTAAATCCCAGAACTTTTAAACTGGACCAATGAAACATACGCTTTAATTGGTATTTGTTCTGTGTTTGTTTTGTGTTCTCCATGCATCATTAAAGTGTAGGGTCCGGTGAAAACCCATGCCTCATCCACGTACCTAACAGATGCTCCCAGAGCCACAGTGGCCGTACATGCTGCTGGATGTCTACCTACATGGTCCACACTGCAGGATCCTGACTGTAACAGTCAGCTCTGTTGTGCGTGTGTGACATACAAAAATGCTTCTTTCTGTTTGATAACTGAGAGATTCTAGCAGTGTTTGTTGGTTTGATTTGACCAATTGTGGTCCAGCCTCCTACAACCCGTGCTTTAAAGAATGAAAGGTTAATCTAAGTAAAGTTTTCACCTGTGCAGCTTTGCCAAGGCTTTGAGGAGCTGCAAATCAAAAGAGCTAGATGACCCACGCTAACAGTGAGGAACGCCCTCAAAGAGCTTGCTCAGAGAGACCAACCAAAGCAACGCTGGCCAAGGAGTGGTCCCTCTCGTCCCCAGGTAACCTCAGTTCATACACCCAAAACTCAGCATGCTGAAAGGCAATGAATATCTAATGCACGGGTGCTCAAACTAGATGTAAACGTTAAATGGTGCTACGGACAGCACAACTCCCATTTTTTTTAGATGGGTCAAAATTTGTACTAGTACTATCCCTTAAAGTGCTAGTTATATGCCCTTAAGGTGCCTTCAATGTGAAATGGCTCCTGCCATGCACCACTCTGGCCCACCATGCTCTGGATCGTATGGAAGAAAAATATGTAAAGAGCATTTTTAAGTCACAAATAAAATAAAGCCGAAAACCAAAATTGGCAGTAAACCATGTCATTGTAAATAGTTTTCTTTTAAATTACATGTTGGCCCAAGGGGGCCTGTTCTGGTGTGTGTGATGTGTGGTGGTGTGTGTGTCGGTGGTTGGTGTGTGTGTCGGTGTGTGTGTCGGTGGGTGTGGTGTGTGTGTGTGTTGGTGCTGTGTGTGTGCTGTGGGTGTGTGTGGTGGTGTGTTGACCCGGTGTGGTGATGTGTGTGTGTGGCTGTGCTGTGGTGTTGTGTGGCCTGTTGTGTTTTGTCGTCGTCGTCTTGGTGTGTCTTTTAACTTAAAAAGGTGCACCTGTTGCTGCCGTGCCCTGACTAGACAATTATTTTTAATATTATTAGATTTAGTTTTATTTGCTGGAAGATGCTTAGTTTTGTGACATGCCAAATGCAATGACATATCCTATAATAAATTGCTGGATCTGAAATATGGTCCGGGTGTCGGGTTTTTCATAGCTGTTGAATAATTAGGACATTCTCCAGGCCTTGCAAAAAAACAACTGTGGTGTTGTGTGCCGGTGTGTTGTGGTGTGGTGCGGTGTGCTGTGCGTGGTGGTGTGTGTGTGCTGTTGTGCCGTGTGTGTGCGTCTGTGTGTTGCGTGTCGTGTTGCGTGTTGGGTGTTCCGGGTGGCGGTGGTGTGCAGTGCGTGTGGTCGTGCGGTGCGTGTGGGTGGTGTGCGTGTGTGTGTTTATTTTATATTTCTACAATTGAAAACCCAC